TTTTCACTGAAAAAAGTAGGACTATAACCGCATGTTGTGAATTAATCGTTGAATAAGATGCGCCATCTTGAAATTGACTAAAAAGGCTAAAATCAAATTTAATGAATATTGCAAAGGGTTATGATTTCTTGTGCCGCAGAAATCCCACCATTTTCTTAAGTATGCAGTATACTGTTTTAAAGTAGATGTACTGATTGAACAGTAAATAGCCTGAAGTCCTACTGCTGGGACACCCCTTCTGTGAAAAGCCTCCCTGATAGAAGTCCAATCTCCAGGAAAAGGCTTCGCCAAATTGGATGACAATCTCTGAAAGGAGAAGAAACTAAACTTAGATTCGGTGTACACACTAAAGAAGTTTACGAAAGATGCTGCGTATTCCAGCAAGGAACCACTATACATGACTATTCCTTGGGCTTTTTCCGAATTAATCTTTTGTAAGCATTTTAATTCAAGATTAAATGGGTGAAAGGCACAGAAAAATTCACCCTCCCAAGAAACGGCGAAAGCATCTACATCTCTGGGCTGACAGACATAAACACTGCTCCTAATTGTAATAAATGAGCAATGCCGCCCTCTAATTTATATATCTCTTTCAGCGTAAAACATGGTTTTGGTAAAAAAATTTGTACTGGTTTTTTACTAAATGGAAGCTTATAACCAGAAACCCGAGAGAGAACAATACAATCATTAGATAGTGATTAGAGACCATTTATCCAAATAATTAGAAAGGCTGTTACAGGTCCATTTTTACTTTATTTTTGCATTATTTATATTGATTTTTAGGTTAGGACTTTGTTTATTTTATTTTGAATTTCATATCATAGGCGTACTCATTTCATTAAAACTCTTCTTTTGATTTCTTCGCTTCTTTCGATTCTTGCCCTCTTCTTACGATTGTATCTTCCTTTTCACTCTCTAAACGCTTCTTCTTTCATTACTGTTTTCACTATTCTAATATTCTAAGCTTATGTGTCAATGTTAAGCCACTGATTCGTTTTCAGGGGAATCTGTTGGTATTTTTCGTCTAAACTACGCTATTCTTTCCCGCTCTTTTCAAAAATCTATTCTTCTTTTCCCGCTAACTTTGTAAGTTCCTTAATTATTGGTATTACTGTTCGTTTTTTTTTAATCTTCTACGTTTTCGTTTTCCGGTTTCGATTATTGTCAATCCGAAATTTTTATAGCCGCATTTATCCAAAAATTTTGGGATTATTACCCTCTTGACATTCACCCTACTCAACAAAAGGATTTAGTATCCGTCCTTTTAAACCCTATTTTGGGGATCAAGAGTAGAGGAGAGGCGCACTTGTGTTTCCGAGTTTTCATATACAACCTATATATTATATTACCTCTTGCTCGCCGGATTTCAACCCCTTTTTTGTAAGTATTCGTGTTGTTGTATCGTTTTCTATTTTTTCATTGCCTTTTAGGATCCGAGCGTTCATTTGCTACCACCAAGTTAATTAAGCACACAAAATATTATATTGTCTCTACGTTTAAGGCCCACGCCATCTCATAAGTAGCCTGTTCGTACTAGAGTTACGTTGTGATTTTGGGTCTTTGTTTTAGGGCCTTTTATTTTCACGTTCTAAAATTGTAACAAACATACAATAAATATTTTAAAAGTTATAATGACTGACAGAAATAAAACGAATGGCTAAGTTTTTAAATGTTGAAATATTAATTTAGGTGGTAATGTGTATCACCATCATCGCCCTCACTCAGACGCGAAACCAGACAATTACTGTAAAGAATAAAGTCTGTGCCAGAAAGGAATATTACAAGGGTAGAAGATTGAAGATTCAGTAGTAATTTGTGAATGGTTCGAGGCAGAAATAAGTAGCAATATTTACGGTTTGTTTGGGATGATCAAGGAATTTAATTGAAATATTCAAAATTCTCATAAAATCAATTAATTCCTCAATAAATTCACAAAAATATGTCTTGTTAGTTTTATTACCGCAGGTCTTCGTATAATCTATTCGATCAGACATTTTTACCGAAATATTATTACCTGACTCTCGTAATACGGTACAAGCTGGGCGGTCGTTCTAACTTGAGAATTTTTATAAGCCTAGTTCTTACCTTTTACATAAAACTACCCACTAATTATACTTAACGTTTTCATTTGCATAGTGACGATGTATTAAAAATAATACATACCTATAGGCATACACGCTTAACATTTTAAAATAATCGTTAGGGAGATAGGAAGAGCGCTTTTCCATAAAACTCATAATTCCTAAGATAAAGCCGAAAAAGGCAATATAGAGAATAAACGAGTTCCTTGATAACCCTTCGCACTAAAAGCAATAGTTTTTATGCGTAAATATAGTTAAAGTGTATTGTACTGGAATTTTGCCACCACAATCAAAAACAAAAGAATTTGTTAATTTGTAAACAGCATTTCTATCAAATTTCGATTTTTATGTTTTGTGGTACCTATGGAATGTCACTGTCTCTGCGGTCACAATTTAATGCCTAAGTACTAACATTCCCAATTGAGTTCAATTAGGTACATTGTGAATTGTGCGCTAGTTCAGTACTTATTTTCATTTTTTGTGCCATTCCACGTTCATTGTGCTCTCCTCTGAAACACAAGAACCAATACATGTTAAGTTTTGACGGAAATATGAAATTTCAACCTTATGTACATTCAAATCAATCATCTCACCCCATGGTGTCAGTTCCAATCAACCTTTTACTTATATGAAACTACGTCCTGATGATGGACATATCTATAGTCCGAAATCGATCACCTAAAAAATAGATTAAATAAACACTCCACGTCCACGAGGGACGGTAAATTTTAATGAGTGCGATTGAAGTCGCTGTGAAGCTCGCATGCTAATCGCTGGTATTTAACGCGCACCACTACAACCTTGTTAAAAGGTGCCTAACTATTGTCACTTACTCACACCTACAAAATGGCGTCTTATTAATGGCATTCATTGATTTGTTTGCTTCGTTCCTGCCCCACGAGTTACATGAGAGTCTAGAATTTAAATGACACAAAAAACCGACGTCAAACTTTAATTGAAAACTTCGAACTTCCTTACAAATCTAAATTTACTCAAATTTTTGAAATTACCAAGCCCGTACTTCAACCACCATGTGTACTCTCTGTTATCAAACTTATAAAAATGGACTCACATTACCTAACAAACCTCCCAAACTTCAACTTCATAAAAATTTGAAAAATAAATCGAAATTAAGAGCTACCGTTACACTTTGAAGAATATTTTTTCTTCGCCAACTAGATAAGGCAGATTTTGCAAATATTAGTAACATTTTTCGCCCACAATTTTTCGACGGTAATTTTTCGGCAGCAGTCTAGAAAGATATTTTTGAAATACGTTTCAGAACCTGTAAACATTTTCGAGTTTAATTTAATGGGTTGAGAGCAGAGCTGGGCAGTATTCGATTTTGTAAATACTTTTTACTATTCAAATCCTTTTTAAAGTATTCAAATACTTTGTAATTAAACACTTTTATGAAAGCAGTAGGTATTTGTATTTGTAACTCAAATACTTTCACAAGTATTTAGTATTCGAATAATATTTGAATACTTAACCTTCCTTTTTTACCATGTTTTTTTTACCAAAAATCGACTGCACCAAAATTTCTCGGGAAAACACTTTTTCTTATTAATTTTGGTGCGTAGAATCCAAAACGATTTTTTCCGGGTCGATCTGAGACAATTTCTTTTTCGGGGCTCAAAAAAAGGCAGTGTATACCCTTCCTTTTTTACCAAAAATCGACTACACCAAAATTTCTCGGGAAAACACTTTTTCTTATTAATTTGGGTGCGTAGAATCCAAAACAATTCGTACTTTTTCGATCAGACTTCTCAATCAAAAGTTATAGACTAGAAACCATTTCGAAAAAAAATTCAAAGGGCTGTAACTTTTGAACTAGTAGCCCAATCTTGGAACTGTTTGAAATTATGGATTCTACAGGCCAAATAAGTTACGACACTCAATGCTGGAACCAATCTCGACAATCAACTGTACTGTAGGTTCGGACACCTCGGGACGTGTTACCTATCTCGGGGGCGAGATTCTATTAATTCTGTTAATAAAAACTCTTCAGTGTAGAATCTATGTGTGATATATGAGCAGCAATTCACTGATTTCCACATATTTTGTTGTAATATTGAATTTTCCCTACAAGGCCATGTAATTCTCCATCTTTCTCTTAACAGAAGAATTTTATTGCACAAAAGATGAGAAATGACGAATAAGATTTTCTATACGCAGATACTTTTCTCTGTTTTGTTTCTGCCACAAACCCTATAATCAAAAGATCGTAACCTTACATCATACATCAATTTTTAAGTCTAAAATATGCATAAGTAAATTTTTTCCACTATTCAAGGTAGATATCCACAAAAACCAATGCGTCAAATGGAAATGGAAAAATATTGACACCAACGTTGGTTCACGTACAACATTTTACTGCAAATAGGCAACTTGTTCTACGAGCTGGAGCCATGATTCTTCGAAGTAAATTCAAATATACATAACACCATCGTTTTGGCACAACCAAATTATTTACACTGTACATGGTAATTTAGTACGGTGATTTTTATTGGTCTGCGAGTTTCCAACACTAAAAACTTTAAATTCCTTAGATATCTCATGAATTGAATGTTTAAAATCTGCGTTGTAATTATGATTAACAATTCATATTCAATAATTCAATAGTTTCAGGTAGAATTTCAGTAATTACCTTGTATCGTGTATGTTGTGATAAGAATTATGGGCTGACTTAACACAATTGTGGGTTATGGGTGTGCACAGTCATAAAAGTGAAAATTGAATTTTGTGTTCGAATATCACAAATTGCCCGTGCCTATTTTTGCCAAGTATACGATTATTGTTTCCTCATACTTAAATTAAATTCTTGAAAATTAATATCAGCGGCCCTGTACATTTGTTCTTGCTCTATGGTTCATGCAGAGCCACTTCCTTGTTGACGTATTTTACTTAGAGGTTATGTTTTCAACCTAACCTCTACCGTGTGGTAGCTTAGATGAATTTAAATATAGAAATGACCAAATTGACTTCTAAATCTACTTAAAAATACAATTATACAAATATGAGGACTGTTTTAATGGTAGCCGAAAAACCATCCTTAGCAGCTTCGCTCGCGACCATTTTAAGCAATGGAAAAAACAGTTCAAGAAAAGGTACGTTAATGTCATTTGCCCCCGCAACTTATTCCGAATTTTCAGGCTTTAACGGAGCCTGCTCCATTCACGAGTGGAACGGGACGTTTCAGAATGTCCCCGCCGCTTTTAAAATGACCTCAGTTTGCGGGCACGTGATGGGTGTCGATTTCTTGGGAAAGTACAATAATTGGGCGAAAGTTGATCCCGCCGAACTATTCACGTGTCCGATCGAAAAGAAGGAGGCAATGCCCAAACTGAAAATGCCTCAATTCCTGTGGCAGGAGGCGAAGGGATGCGATAAGCTGGTCTTGTGGCTCGATTGCGATAAGGAGGGTGAAAACATTTGCTTCGAAGTCATGCAGGCGGTTTCAGGGGCTTTAAGTGGCAATGTGTATAGCAATAGTACGACGTTTAGGGCCCGTTTTTCCGCAATCACTGACAAGGATATTAAAGCAGCCTTTCATTCCTTAGGTAAATACGTTGATTATATTGCAGTGTTGATAATCCATTTGCAGTGTACCCAAATGAAAATGAGGCCAGAAGTGTTGATGCACGCCAAGAATTAGACCTGAGAATAGGCTGTGCTTTCACACGTTTTCAAACGAAATTCTTTCAAGATCGGTATGGGGATTTAGATGCACTCTTAATATCATATGGCCCTTGCCAAACTCCCACTTTGGGTTTTTGTGTGCAGAGACACGATGAAATACAAACGTTTAAACCTGAAACGTATTGGGTCTTGCAGGTTACTATCAATACGAAGGATGGTCAAGAGATTGTGCTCGATTGGGAAAGGGTTCGGTGCTTTGATAAGGATATTGCCTCCATGTTTTTACATATGATTCGTGACCAAAAGGAAGCCAAGTAAGTACATTTTGATCCATTTTGTTTGTTAGAGCAAACACAAAGTAAAATAATTGCTATAATAGTCTCACTAATTTATTATTATTAAGTAATAAGTAATTAATAGCACGTTCTGTGCTATAATATTGAAAATCAACTGTGTTATACGTATCCGCTATTTACACAGATGCTAATTTTTAGTGAAACATATAGTTTTGCATAGGTAAGTATTTGGAAAATGAACATATTTTGTACCAAAATGTTCCAAATTGAATAATAAAGACCAAAAAACATGTAGGTTGGAAAATGCAAAAAAAAAAGGTTTCATTTAATGTATAGTTTGTCCCAGAAGGAAGAGGAGTAATAAACCGCATTGGGTACAAAATTATGAAGGAGTACTGCACAAAACCGTTGTACATCAGACACGAACTGGACATTTTGGCAGTCTAAATCTGACAGAGGCCGCTGTCAGTTTAATTTATTGCTCTTTCATCTATGCTTCTAGCACTTTACTCTCCACTTCACCCTTTGTTTATTAAAACCATTAAAAGCTGTGTTTTATTTAAGGTTTAAGGTGTTTAAAATATTACATTGCCTTGACAGGAAGTAAACGTCAAGGATAAGGACATAAGGTCGTAACCAAGTGTAGGGGAACATCTCTTTCCAAAATTTGGAAAAATAGTTAAAAATAATTATCAAAAAGTACAGGGTGTCCAATTTTTGGCACATATCTTATATGGTATCTCCGGAATTGTTAGTTTTTGAGTCAAACATTAAATGATCAAATTAAATTTTGAAAATATTCGCTCGCTTAAGACCTCTGAAGTATCTACGGGGGAAAATTAAAAAATATTGGCAATGTAGGAATGGCCATATATTTTATTAGTTAAAAGAGATAAAAAAAATTTTACTACAAAAGTTTGCCGTGTCTAAACCAAGTAGGTATACCAGGTCAGGTAAAAAGTTATAACACCTAGGTAACCTCATTTTTTTAATGGAACATCCTCGTTTAAATTCTCTTTTCAAAATAATTCTAATAACATAAGGGATGAAATTAAAAAAAGATTAAAATGATTCAAAAATATTAAAAAGATTTTCAAAAATTTAAAAAAACGTTCAACGGATTAAAAAAAATACAAAAAATGGTTTTTGAATTTTTTTAATCTTTCTGAATTTATATTGATGTTAAATGTACGTTGTACTACAGTTTAAATTTAAAATGAAAGATTGTTACATCAACTTTAAAAAAACGATAAACAAAAGCAAAAATCTAAATTGCGTTACTTTGGGTGGCAATTTTACTACAGAAGGAAACTTCCAGAGTTACCAGCGTCACTTGCAAACAAATGACCAAAACACGCCCACTGGCACTAAATACAGTCGAATTAATGCGTGTTGCAAGTTCCGGCTTGGGCATGGGCCCACACCACGCAATGCAAATCGCGGAAAAACTTTACACGCAGGGATTCATCAGTTATCCTCGTACGGAAACGACCAGCTATCCCGAAAATTTCGACTTAATGTTAGTATACTCTTTTACACCAACGTCTGACTAAATTCGTATTTTAGAGGTGTTTTACAACAACAAGTAGGTAATTCAGACTGGGGGAGAGACGTTTCCGAAATTTTATCGCAAGGTATCAACAGACCAAGAAAAGGTCACGATGCTGGTAAGTTCCGAAATGAGCTTAGACCAGAAATAACTTGTACTCTAAGGTGACCATCCGCCGATTACACCAATGAAGGCTGCTTCCAGAAATACGTTGGAAGGGGATGCATGGCGGCTATACGATTACATTACTCGACATTTTATTGCTACATTAGCGAAAGACTGTCTGTATCTTACAACAACCGTTACATTTTCGGTGGGCCAGGAAGTATTTTCGGCAACTGGAAAGTCTCTAATTGATCCTGGGTATACGTCGGTGATGATATGGCAGGTAGGTACATCTTTGATGGGTGAACTACTGCAAATAATTGCAAAGGTTTGTAGGCGTTTGGACGAAATGAAATCCTACCCGCATTCACCGCCAAAGAAATGGTTCCCATAAGGGATGTACGACTGGCCGAGCGTCAAACTGGTCCTCCTGATTACTTAACAGAAGCCGAACTTATTACTCTTATGGAAAAGCACGGTATCGGTACTGACGCCTCCATTCCGGTTCACATCAATAATATCTGCCAGAGAAACTACGTGACCGTAGGAGGTGGAAGAAAACTAGTGCCGACAACGCTAGGTATTGTACTGGTTCACGGTTATCAAAAGGTAAGTTAAATACTCAAACTACACTTCTAAAGATCCGCACTTGAAGATTGACCCACAACTCGTACTGCCTACCATGCGTTCAGCCGTTGAGAAACAACTAAACCTAATCGCGCAAGGTAAAGCGAATTTCACCGCCGTTTTGAATCACACCATGGAGATTTTTCGCTTAAAGTTTCAATACTTCGTCCTAAATATCGAGGGCATGGATCAACTCTTTGAAGTATCCTTTTCTCCATTGAGTGCGACGGGAAAGGCTCATTCCAGGTAATGTAGAACCACAGTCAACAGCTAATCCAACTGATTTACTCAGGTGCGGGAAATGTCGGCGATACCTGAAACTGATCCCGGCAAAACCAGTTCGGTTACACTGCCCACATTGCGACGAAACTTACAACTTACCACAAAATGGAAATATTAAAATATACAAGGAGCTGAAGTGTCCCTTAGACGATTTTGAGCTGTTAACGTGGTCCTCGGGATCTAAAGGAAAAAGTTACACTTTCTGCCCGTACTGCTTCAATAATCCACCTTTTAGGTAAAGATGCTCTCTCTAACTGTTTTATTTAGTTTGCGATTTTAGGGATATGAAGAAAGGGTTTGGTTGTAATACATGCACCCATCCCACTTGTCCTCACAGTTTGAACACAAACGGAGTATCGAATTGTGTCGAATGCGATGGCGGTATACTGGTCCTAGATCCTTCGTCTGCGCCAAAATGGAAGTTCGGATGCAATAAGTGCGATATTATAATTCACATATTCGACGACGCGGCGAAGGTGTACGTGCAAGACGATACCTGCGATTGTGGATCTCAGCTGGTTAGCGTCGAATATAAGGAAGATAAGACTAAGCTGCCTAATAATCTCACCGAGTTCACCGGTTGCGTGTTCTGCTCGAAGGAGTTCTTTAACCTGGTAGAAAAACATAAAGCTGTGGCGAGTAGACGTGCCAATTACGTCAGCAAATCTAGCGGAAGGGGGAGGGGTAGGAGAAAACCGAAGCCACCAAAGGATAAAATGTCTCAGCTGGCAGCCTACTTTGTGTGAAGTGTTAATTTATTGTTCGTTTCATTATTAACATTATTAATTTGCTAAACTTAAATACGAATAAAGCCTTATTACTTTCTTAATTTATTTGTTTATTTTCTATTGAGTTTCCAGACGTTTTTGTTTAGATATTGACTCTGAAGAACGAGACACATTTTAGAAATTAAAAAATATGTAATGTAATTTGCCCTTTTGTGTTATTTATTTATTTATTTGCGTAAACTACACCGGATTTGAAAGGGCATTGATGAATGGGCTTTTTTTCTCGGAGACGATCTCATGGAAATGAACGATGCTAATAAGATGGCGCTTGGTGGTTGGGTACCTAATTGTGGAGTTCATATTCTTAAATTAGGCGCCAACAGGATTACCGCCAGCTATTTTTCATATAGATAATTCGTATGACATATAATGTGAGTTGTTAATATTTTCAATAAATGTTCAAAGAAATTGTTGATATACACGACAAAATGGCGCAGTCGATATAAAAATTACGCGAAGATCGTGATTGTGGTGTTAAGCTGATGCTTTTATCTCACTTGTGTTATCTCAAAAAAGCGAGAAGTGAATTTCTAATTCTTGGTTGTGAACAATTACAATGACGACCCCCAACGAGAATCCTAATTTGTTCGACCTTCAACGTCAAATAGCAGATACACGAAGATGGTTGCAGTGGATGCAAAATTGGAATGGGAGTTTACCGTATAGTTGAATTCCGCAGTTCTAATTTAATAAGCGTGTACCTGAAACCATAAAACATTTTTTTGGACAGTAAAAGTTTATTTAAAAATAGAGGCTGATTAGCAAAAAAATAATGAACATGTGCGGTTTTAAGAGTCTTCTGTACCCACTGCACCCAATGTAAATTTCCATAAGAGCGCCCGCCATAAAAACTCTAGTTGTTTTTCAAAAAACAATTTTTTTTAAGAACTATTTTATAAATTTAGACCTTTATCTACAAAATGTTCGGACTATTTTTTTTTTAAAGTTTATAGCAACTGAATACCGATTGTTTAAAGATTAGATGTTTCGCACCGATTATTGCGCTAATCTGTTTTATTTTTTTACTCTCGATCAAGACGATTTATGGAAAAAGTAAACCGACAGTTTTTTAGATAAGTTACTTCTAAGCATGACCCCAAAAAATGAAATCATAATTTTTGTAAATAAAGTCTGTATCTTGGCGGGCGGTAAATCATCAATTTGAGTGTAACAAGTGGCGCCGCTGCACAGTGTCGGTGGGAACTAACTAAGGACCAAGACAGGAGTTGACAAAGCAAGAAATTCATCTTATCTCTTGCAGCTATAATCATCTATACACTATAATGTAAAAAAGTTGCGCTTAGGTAAAGAAGACTCTTAAAGGTTTATTCAAAACGATATGATTGTGGCGGGCTCTGTGACGTAATAAGCCCGACCAATCAGCTCCTAGAACCATTCAGATGACATAACGACTTGGCAATGTTGCAGGAGAATGGCATTTATAACTTGCGTCATCTGTCACAGGCACTTGTCACTTTCGTGCTAGATGCAGTTAAACATCCTTAGACCATATAGTACATGGACTGCTATTAGCCCTATGCTTTCAATACAAAATGGGTGGTCACGGATAGAGGGCACTGTAGTCGTGGGTATGTGAATCTCAGGGTAAAATAAAGTCGTATGAACACCACTTGGATTGCGTAAAGAGTAGCTTTTATGGTAACCGCGTAGTACGAGAAGCTTTAAATACTCTTGATTTTCTTCTATACGTCCACAAATAAGGACAGGTTTGCTTTTTTTGCCATATGTAGACGATTAATTAATTGACATTTGTCAATTTATAGCATTGAATTTGATAGTTATAAATTCAATGTTTATAGGTTGACAGTCTCAAATCGTGTCTCATCGGGCAATTTCGGACAGACTCGTTTACCCTGAAACTCACATACCCAGGCGATGTCCTTGACCATATTTTAGTTACAATTAGCAGTCCATGTACTATATGGTCTAAGTAAACATCCCTCTCAAAACGTCAAATGTGACAAACGTCAGACCCTCGCGTAAGGTTGCCAGCTCACTCCTACGTGATTGGTTGTAGGTTTGTGACGTATTTAGTCTGAAGCGTTTCAAATTCGGACTAAAAACACAGCTTTTCAATAATTTATTTTGGGTTTATTTTACTCGCAAATAAAAATTGAGGACACACGGGTCTTTTTATTTTTAATGTACTTTGTGGATCAGAAATAAAAAATGAAGGCGGGATGACCCCATTGGACTCTGGTTGTCCTGTCAACATTACGGCTCAGAGTCAGGGGGCAACCTTTCACTCTTTGGAGAGGACCGTCCCTCTTATTGGGCCCTGGGATGGCGCGTCTGAAAGTGCAGAGGCACATCCCTAGGGTAACCTAGGTGATATCTGTGTTATACGGGCTCCCGGATGACAAGGGCCACTAATCTTAAAGCGTCTCCAGAGGCAAAATCCATTTAACAACACCACGTTCGATTCAATTAGTGAGGCTAAATGAACACGAATAAAAGTTTTACACATTTTAATGCTTAACCTGATAAACATACTAATTAATACAAACTTTAATTTTTTTAGTAGTCATAGATGGCGTTGGCACGAGCTTTGGCATTTTTAAAAAGGACAAATTTTTCTCTGTAGGTATAACGATATAAGGCTTGCTAAACGTACTTTATTAAATAAACGCGCTGCAGAAAATTTCGTATTGTTGAGAGATAAATAAACAGAGTTTGCCATGGAAAACAATATCTTGTGAGGTAGTTAATAGTGTAACTGTGGCACATTTGACACATTTCAAAGCCATCTTCGAAAATTCACTATGAAAGTGAAATTAATAACCATATTCATTACACTAATTAAAAGTAGATCGTATCATGCCATGGAAATATCTTCATTCTTGAAGGCCTCAAAGAAAACTTGGATTAATGTTTGGTGTGAAATTATTGAATCGCGAATTCTTGGACGTTTCATTTACGACGAAAATTTGACAGGACAACTTTATCTTGAACGGGTATGGGTTTTGGATGACAATTACAGACTTCAAAAATGCTTTTTTTCAATCCACAATAATTATATTCGCAATTCCCAAAAAACCTAACTAACACCAGTGTAATAAATGCAAGGTAAAATTTAAAAGCTAACCACTTACCTAACACCAGCCTTATCACTTCAATTAATTATATAAAAAATCTGGTAAAAATTGGCCTAATGGCTGTTTTAAGATCTGAACAGTGAGTTGAGTTGTGCAGGTATATAGACGTGTTTTCGCGAGCGCTCTCAAGTTTACTTTTAATTAAGCGTGTATATTAGTGCAGCTGACTTTTTCGAAATGCCCATCTTTAAAAATTGTGGAACGTGCGATAAAAAGATCAATTTTGAAAAGGAATTAGTTTGTGTATGTGATAAGTGTCATCTGCTTTATCACTCTATATGTTCTGGCCTTTCCCATGCCGATGCACAATTACTATCAACACAGACAACATATACTACAGACGGTCAATGCAATGCTATAGAAATAAACGCAACACCTAATAGAGTACGGTTAGTGTGTTGTCTACCTTGAGGCAGTTGAAATAATTTGTTATAAAATGTGGTAGACGCACAGAAAACTGTTGTGTGTGGTAAAAGTGTGTAATAGATGGAGTCATTTTTGTAAAAATAAAATACATATACTCAAACCTTATTTCCTCGGCTTCAGAACGCCGGCCTTTACGTAGATAAGATAAGCGCTCACTTGTATACCTATCATAAATTACATGAAATAGGACACATTTTAATTCTTCATTTTTCTCTTTTCTAAACATTTAAAAAATTGATGGAGCGAGTTTGGTTATACAAGGGCGGAAATTAAATTTGGCCTCCACATATAAAATTATGAGGTTGGGCAAGGAAAGATTTTATTAGAATAATAAACATAATTTTTGTTTTTCCATAATAAATATATGATTATACCGGGTGGTGACTTGAACAACGCACCATAGGAATTGCAATAGTAATTTTTTCATTTCTGATCAAACATGGCAAATGCAGGCGCTTTTGTTTGATTTCGTAACTCCATGGAATTACCGACTTTATAAACGCGACAGTTTTTAATTTTTAAATTTTTACTGATTCTGAATTTTATAAAATACGAAATAAGAGTATGTACGGATTCGTTTATATAATTCGAGGTAAATGTTTCACTCGCCCCCCAGACTTGGCGTCCAGGGCCTAGGCCCCCCTCGCACGGCCTTGCCTACCTATATGTATCTTTGATAATGCCATCACAACATTTTTTGATTAGGGGAGAGAGCACTGAACGAACTTTATTTATTTAATGTGAATGTGTAGGGTCAACATATTCCAGTCAAATTAGCTCCAAAAGTATTCTAAAATGGATGTTGGAATTTCACACAACGAAACCAAGTGTATTCTATGTAGTTCCCTGCCCGGAAGCTCCCGGAACATATTACTATACACAAAAAAAACAAGAAAAAAAGGAAAAATGCAGTTTTTTTCGCATTTAACTTCCAATTATCTCGTCAACTATTGCTCGAGCTCATAGAAATGAATTTGTTTAGAAACAAATTTTCAGTTGGTACAGAACCGTTCACTTTTAAAAGTTATTGTTTTTTCTGGAAAAATACAAAAAAAGTAATCCCAAAAATTAACATTTATTTTTGTCCTGGTTTTTGTTGATACGCCCTTCTCGATGCTTTGTCTTTCAAACTGGATGACTCCCAGAGCGTTTTCAATATTTTTATGGATGGTGGAACCGTAAAACAACCTATTCCAACAATTGTCTGTTGTCCCGATGAGTTTTGCAAATCGACGGACTGTGGAATTAGTTTAGTGGAAACCCCAGAAGTAGAACAAGAAAGTAACTTTATAATAGGCCCTTGGCACTCTGTTTAATAAAAATCATACCAACTGTATCTGATAGAAAAATCGATTCTAAACAAATGTGTTCTCTTCATTTTTTCCGTAAGAGGAATAGTTAACGAGATACTTAATTAAGTCAAATGCGAAAAAACATGTTCCTATTTTTTCTTCGTTTTCTTGTGTATAGCAATATGTTCCCGGAGTTTCCGGTCAGCT